GTAACAAACCTAATCTTAGGTTGAAAGTAGTGACGAGCTAATACAAAGGCCGGGTCCAATACCAATATTCCACAACAGTTCATAACAGCATAGTACAAGTAATAAAAGAGGTATCTCGGAAATAAAATGCTCAGTTCATTCACAGTTCCAGAAAATAGGCATTGCTTTTCAAGTATCTTAGTGAAAACCCAAATCTTTTACCGAAAATGCCAAAATATGAGTAAGTATGAAAACCAGGATTTTTTCCAAAAATCCTTTCAATAATAAAATATTCATTTTCAGATAGCATGAGATAAGTATGTCTCTATGCCTACATGTCAAGATACAGGTAAAATCATAAATGTCACCAAAACCGAGTAGCAGAAGGAAATGCATCTCTATGCATGTATCTCAAGTACGCATGACAAATGCAATGCATCTCAATGATGAGCTCATGTACTCACACTCTCAGAGTACTCAATCTCACTGTCTCGCATTCCCTCTCACTATGCTTAATGCTCAGCACACTCAATCACTCAGCACTGTACAATACCTGCTACGGCGTGCAGCCCGATCCACATATGACCATAAGGTCCGTTGCGACGTGTAACCCGATCCACATATATATAGCCATAAGGCTCGTTGCGGCGTGCAATTCGATCCATATATATATATATATATATATATATATATATTCATAAGGGTCGTTGCGGCGTGCAAACCGATCCATATACATATATAGTCAACTGGGCTCACTAAGGGGTGTGCAGACTCCGGAGGGGGTCCTACAGCCCAAGCGCTATAATCCGCACGGACAACTCACGTGCCATAATATCAATATCTGGATCCGCACAGACAACTCATGTGCTGCATGGATAACTCACGTGCTATAATATCAATATCCTCACAAACAGGCTCCCGGCCTCACTCAGTCATCAATCTCTCCAGTCTCACTCACGGGCTCACAATATCATGAAACTAGCCCGATAACAATGATATGATGTATCAATAAATAAAAACTGAGATTAAGATATGATATGAATGCATGAATATGACTGAGTACGAAATATCAATGAAATCAGTAAAATGACGGCAAGAAACGACCACTATAGGTCCTAACAGTATCGTCATAAAGCCTAAACATGATATCTAGCATGATTGACAACTCAATTACTTTATCACATAGTGAAAACACGGACATCAACAAAGTAGGACCACTGTACAGTGCCATGGAAACAACAGAGTCCCAATTCACATGGTGCACGCCCACACTCCCGTTACCTAGCATGTGCGTCACCTCAATACCAATGACATAACACGTATTTCGGGATTTCATACCCTCGGCACTAAGTTTAGAAGAGTTACTTACCTCGAACAAGCCAATATCAATGCCGAGTAAGCCAAGTGATGCTCCAAAGATGCCATCACGCGCGTAGCGACCTCCGAACGACTCAAAACTAGCCAAAAGCAACAAAAATACATCAAATAAATCCCAAGGAAACAATTCCAAAATATAAAGATCGAATCTTTAATCAAAACCTAAAATCGACCAAAAATTACACCAGGGCCCGCGCCTCGGAATTAGACAAAACTCACAAAATCCTACAACCAATTCAATTACGAGTCCAACCAAATAGTTTCACTCAAATCCAACTCCAAATCGATGTTCAAAACTCAAAAATTCACATTATGAAACTTTAGGCCAAAACCCCCAATTTCCCCTTTGAAAATCATCAACCAAAAGCTAGAATCGAAGATAGATTCATGAAATATAACCAAAACCGAGTAGAGAACACTTACCCCAATTTATATGGTAAAAATTGCTTCAAGAATCGCCTCAATCAGAGCTCCATAGCTCCAAAAATGCAAAAATATCTGAAACTTTTGAAATTGAGTACTATATACACTACCCAGTCGTCCTCTTTCGCGAATGCGGGAAAACCATTACGTTCGCTATGAACAAGATATCAGTCACCCAAAAATACTCTACGCGTTCGCGGCACAAGCCTCGCGAATGCGATACACACCGGGGACAGAGCTACGCGAACGCGGTTCCAACTACGCCAACGCGATGAAGAAAGGCCTCCAACTCTAGCACCCAGGTCAACCCTACGCGAACGCGATCCCTCATACGCGAACGCGAAGAAGGCTTGCCCCAACTCTACGCGAAAGCGGACAAATATTCGCGAACGCGATGAAGAAATGCCACTGCCATCAAAATACACTACGCGTTCGCGGTACTTGCCACGCGAACGCGATGAAGGGCTGAGACACCAGAAACCAGCAGAACACAGTAGTGCCAAAATGAAGGAGGATGGCCCGAAATCAATCTGAAACACGTCCGAGCCCCTCGGGATCCCGTCCAAACACACCAACAAGTCCCATAACATAACACGGACCTACTGGAGGTCTCAAAACACATATAACAATATCGAAACGGCGAATCACACCTCAATTCGAAATCAATGAACTTGAAACTTCAAACTTCCACAACAGATACCGAAACCTATCAAATCACGCCCGATTGACCTCAAATTTTGCACACAAGACCCAAATGACATAACGAAGCTATTCCAATTCCCGGAATCACAATCCGAATCATCAGATCAAAAAGTCTACTCCCGGTCAAACTTTTCAAAAATCCAACTTCCGCCATTTCAAGTCAAATTCCACTACGGACCTTCAAATCACAACCCGGACGTGCTCCTAAGTCCAAAATCACCCAACGGACCTACCGGAACCATCAAAACTCCGTTCCGGGTTCAAATTCACAAAAAGTCAAACTTGGTCAACTCTCCCAATTTAAAGCTTTAACAATGAAATTCATTCTTCTAATTCGATTCCAAATAACCTAAAAATCAAAACCGACAATTCACATAAGTCTTAATACATTATACAGAGCTACTCATGCCCGTAAACTACCGAGCGAAGTGCAAATGCTCAAAATGACCGGTTGAATCGTTACATTTAACTTGGTATAATTGATATCTCCTGATCGAAAAGGTTACATAATTGATAAGGAGAAGAACTCCTTAATCAAAGAGAACACCATCCAAGATAAGGGAGGAGTCAGAAGTTGAGATCAACTAGAACTCTTCCACCAAGGAAGAGTAGCATTAGAACTCTAGTTATTTCTTCATCTACTAACTCTATATATTGCAAGATGTTCTTATTTTATAGTGATGCACAAAAGCAGAAGTAAAACGTGAATTGAGAGCAAAATAGCAAGGCATTTTGCAAGCAATTCGTGTGTGATTCAAGTGTGCAAACCTGAAGCTACATGAACCAGATAGAAGAATCAGTTCCAAGTGTCTGTCTTTTATTCTAGTTCAATTGTAGTAGGTATTTTTATATTGTACCTTTCAGCTTTATCTAGAGGCAATTGTAATAGGTACTTAGAGTATTTAAATTAGAGATAACTTGATGTTGTTGTGGCAGTTAGAGGCTGATTGCCACAACGGGATTGGAGTTAATCCTAGGTTTATAAAAGTGTTTTGTAAATGTAGTTTTTGGCTCAGTGATTTAGTGGAGAGTTTGGAAAAATACTACTGAGAAATAGGTCGTGATTTTTTCACCTTTTGAGCCAGGTGTTTTCCACGTAAAATACTTGTGTTCTTTACTTTCCGTATTTACTATTTCTGCAATAGTAGGTTAAGGAACACTTAGAAGAACCAGGTCCTTCCATAATCAGTTTAAGCGAAAAATTGGACACCACACAAATCACCCCCTTCTTGTGTGGTATTGAAGTTAATACATCACTGACACCACACAAATCACCCCTCTTGTGTGGTATTAAAATTAAAACATCGCTGACGCTTCCGGGAGATATAGTTCAAGAGATTGAAGTCGGGTATGAACATCTGGTATGGGAAATAATGGAATAGTAGATACACCTACAATCCCGAGGCTGAGTTCTTCAAGATTCGGGAACCTCCACCAGAACCTTGGATTCTTCTCATCATCATATATCGTGCAAGTGCCAAATGTCTTCAAATTCTCTAGCATTGTTTCTGAAGATTCTTCAAACAATGCTAGGTAACTATCTTCCCATAAGAAGAGAAACTCACTTAGATTCACATGCCTTAGCTTCGTCATTTTCCAGATAGCTGCTGGCGATGTCTTTAAATAACCCCATCTATCTGAATGAACCGTTGAGTTTGAAGTTGGTGCATGTGAGATACCCACTTGAAGTCAAAATTAAAGACATTAATTGCAAGGTACCTCAAGTGAGTTAGTGATTGTACAACCGTAGCCCAAGAACGTGGCAACTCCACATCCAAGAAATGCAACACCCGAACAAGTCTTAATTTAGCAAGTAAAGGTAGAGGATCTGATCGGTTCCATGTGTTGAATACTGGATGAGCAATGAACTCCAAAGACTTTGTTTCCTCGGAGTCCAAAAATAGAACCTTATCTGGCCGATATTCAGAATGATCTAATTGTTCAACCAGATCATCATGAATATAAATGCATAACCGCGATTCCTTGGAGTATTGCAAATGTTGATATGGATTGTATGGCACTGCGAGCTGCTTAAACTTTTTTTCTCTAAGTTTTCCACCACAAAACTCACGCACTACATCGTGCAGTATGCAGTATTTTATGTCACCATCAAGTCTCTTCTCAGAGACCATTACTAGGCTTCTGTTAAGCAGTCCATTCAAGCAAACTCCATCAGCTGCTTCCTCCATATTTTCTGTGTCAACATTCAGTACAAACTCTTCACCCATCCAAAGCTTCAGCAAATCAGACACCAGAATCCTATAGTCTTCTGGAAACGATCCCATGTACAGAAGGCAAGGCTTTAATTGGTCTTCTAAATGATCATAACTTGATTGCATTACCTTCATGCTTTGCTCTCCTAAAACATGAGAACTTAAGTCATTTGCAACCACAAGCCACAAGGACGCCTCCCTTTCCATTTTTACAATAATTCCAGCAATCAGGACAACCACAAGAGGCAATCCCTTACAGTGTTGGGCAACTTGTAATCCTGCATCCCGTAGATCCGGAGGACACCTCTATCCTCGAAATACTTTCTTTTGCAATAATTCCCAACTCTCTTCCAATGTTAGAAATCTAAGAGAATAAGGATCACTGCGGTGTTGAAGATGCTTAGCCACTTCTTCAATTCGAGTTGTTACAATTACTCTACTTCCATCTTCACCTTTAGGGAAACATAATCCCAAATCTTCCCATGCCTCGACTTCCCATATATCATCTAATACAATGAGATATCTCCTGCCTATTAGACTCTTGCACAACTTGTCAGCTATGTCATTATCCTTTTTGATTTTGCTAGATGTTGTTTGTTCAAGAATCTCAGCTAACAATGTCTTCACATTATATGTTTGTGAGACAGTACACCATACCTTAATATCAAAGTGATTAGCAACAGAGGGATTGTTGTACACCTTCCTTGCCAAAATTGTTTTACCGAGTCCGGCCATTCCAAAGATTGAAATAACATCTAGCTCCTTTGTTCCTCCAATCAATTTCTGCACTATACTTTCTGCATCTTTCACAAAGCCCACAACTTCCTCATCAGTTGATGGAAAACCACGTTTGGTGGAAGGCTCCATGTCAATTAGCCTGGTGTCTCTCACGATTGTGGAAACTAAAGTCCAATGGTCTTATATTTAATAGCTCTATCAGCTTCAGTAAGAGCAATGAAAACAAGATTAACAATCATCATAATTTAGAGAAAAAAATACAAACATGAAAAAAAGGTAATGCCACATGTAAAGTATTATGTGTCTACAGGCCAAAAATATATAGTCAAGATGAATGAAAGTAGTAATCAACCCCTCCAAATCTTAATTTATTGACATGACACCTTAACCTCTACTGTATATTTTCTTTCAATCTCTCTAGTTATTTCATGTCCCCCTCCTTGCAAATAGCAAATTTTGAAAGCCTGCATTTAGCTTGAAAAAATTCCCACCAGAAGAACATTGCCTGACGTTTGCTAGTCAATCAAATTTCAGTTTTTCCGTAAACATAAAACGATGAAACAACAAAGAGGGTATCTAAGGGAAAAAAACGAACATTGGCTTCTCATAGACTAAGAACGAAATAAGGTGCGGATCATTTAGGAAAAGCAGAACAGCCCAATAAACATCATTGAGAAGCAATGCTTCCAGATACAAATTAGTAGAAAAGTTAATAAAATCTTAAATTCCAGGGCATAATTTTAGGAAATTTCAGAAAATATGAAAAGAGAAAGTGCAAAATTCACTTCATCCACCCCACACTACAGCATCCAGATCTTGCAGCTAACAGAAGTTTCTCTTAACTGTCTCTATCTCTCTCTTCAGAATTCTTTTGGGGGAAAACAAAACAGAGATGAATTGGGAAAAGGAAATAACTTAAGAGAGACCTTCAAATAACACCATGAGTGCAGCCGCTGAATCTGGTTGGAGCTTTTTCCGGTGATTCGACCAGTGCTTTTTGGTTGGAGAAGGTGAAGAAATGGCGGTCATTGGTGGGTGAGTTGATTATGAAGATTGATATTATCGTGCCTTTGAGTGAAAGGTAATGGAGATTTTTGAATTTATGAGGAAGGTGATGGTCAGTGGTAAAAAAATGGTGATTTAGCCGGCGGTGGAGGTGAAGGCGGAGAGGACTTGGCGGCGTCGTTGACATGAGAAAGGGTCCCCGCCAGAAAACTTTTTAAATTTTGTCTTTTTCTTTTTAGTTTTATCTTCATATTTCAGTAATTTTTTTTTGTTTAAAATTTCATATTCACACGGTAATATGCGTGAAATACATTATTTTTCATATTCCTATGTATGAGTTTTCAACCTTTTAAATCCCCAATAACAAAGTTTTTAATTTTTCACTTTAGTTTACCAACAATTTTAAATTTGTGATGAGAAACATAAATGTCACTCGCAAATTCGTCAAAGATGTTCAAAATTTAAAAAAGTGTAATAATTTTTTGGTGAATGGGTGCACTAAAATTTTTAAATCAAACTCTGTAATATTTAGCCAAATTATACAAATACTTGTAACATAATTACAACTTATAAATTTACACTAACATAAAAAGACAACGAAAAAAATTCAACTAATAAAATTAAGCATAGAACCAAAAGGAAAGATGGGCTAAAGAAGATTTGTTGTGTGTAGAGATCTTTTGGTTGACAACATTTTACGGAGCTTGACTCTTAAATTATTAGATTTGTTTAATTAAATTTACACAAGTTCTAAGTGTTAAGAGTTATTATTAGACAATTTTTAGATTAAAAATCAGATAAATGTGGTCTTCATTTAGTTTTGAAGAATAAATTGGGGATAAAAATATTAACACTAGGATTCAAATCCATGAACTTCACCTATTTTTGAATATCCTTGACCACTAGGCTGCCTATCTCAGTTGTGTCAAGGGTGTTCGCAGTATAATACTCACATAAAATGGTATTTGACCTTTATATAAAGCATAATTTTTCGGCACGAAGGGTGTTTACTTGACCATCCTTGAAACCATATAACTACACCACTGCTCACAAATCAGTTTTTAATATAGATCTTCTTAATGCTCTGTTAATAGGTAAAATGAAGTTTCAGATTATATATAAAATAGGCTAAATTATGTAAGAAAAGAGAATACATGCTAAATTTGGTTGATTACCTTTATTTCCTAACGGTAATTTATTTTTAAACACCTCACATGTATATCCACGTAATTATTTCTTTTCATATTCACGCATGTAATATCTCATTTTGTCCAACTCAGTCGTTATATTGCTACATATGCTAATAATTGGAGGGATTTAAATTGAAATAGCGTCTTTCACCAATTATAGGTATTTAGATAATACTTTGTAGGAAGGTCATCAAGATATCAAAATCGAACAAGTAAACGTATTTATTAAGCTACTAGTTTAACTGTGAAGCAGTTAACATGCAATTTAGCCTAGTAAAAACTGATAAGTAATTCACAATGCATTTGTTTTTCGATCATCTTCCAATCATTTATTTCGATGATATCATCAATAATAGTAAAAACAATTAAAATAACTTGTACAAAGCCTCCTTGAAAGAGGACAATATGAAACATAGGTACAGATTTTTGGATCTCTCCGTAGTTATTTCCAAGTTGTCGTAAATCAGAAAACATAGCAAAAAGATCGAAGAGTCTGTCAGACAGCCATCAGACCACCCCGGCAACTATTGTTGGAGCTGAGAACGATCATCCACGGCACCATGACCCGAGGGCTATGGGAACTGTTAATCACGCTCTAGCCCAATAGGAATGCCTAATCAACCAGACTTGTTTTCCTGTCTCCTTAGAACTCAAGAATACAGTGGTACGAGCCTATAGAACAGATCCTGTTCAAGTAAGGTCGTATCCATCCAAGTTGCTTCACTGATATATAAATACTTCCTTGCCTAGGATGCTTGTCAATGTGGTACGTTGGACGAAAAAAGAAAGGACTAATTAATTATTATTTTTATTGTCTTTACAAGTCGATAATGCTGACAAAAAAGGAAAACCACAACTATGTTTTTGTCTACATCGAAAGACGTTTGTGGCTGCGCAGAATTCTTCGGTTTCCAATTAATTCATGTGAATTCTTAGTTGCAAATTTAAGGGACTTATAAATAACCCGAAGTTTCTTTTTAATATATTCATGGAATTCCGCCTTTAAGAAACTCACATTTTAAATGCTCAAGAAATCAGTTATAATCAATGATGGCTTACCAAGAATTGTTGCAAAAGAAAGTGCTTTTTATTCTTGTGTGGATCTTATGTCTTTTTAAGTGTTTGGCTTTGAAAAATCTGGATAAATATTATATTTAATTTGTGTATGATTTCAATAATAAGAGAGTGAAAGTATCTGATATTAGAATTAGGGTAGTGTATATTTTAGAATACATGCAAGTGGTATATTACAGTTGATTCATATTATATGAGTGTTTAGTGTAATTATTGAATTTATTTTAAATTAACAAGATGTTCTCATACACTTTAATGTGCAAAACATGCATCTCTTATCCCCAAATTTTCGTGATGTACTACACTACCAGGTTTGGGGTCAATAATCAAATACAAATTAACGTGCTTTCTTCACAGAGATATATAAATATTGGAGTCAAAGAGCAAAAAACAGGTAAAATAAAAAGAACATTAAAAAAGAAAGAAAGTTCAATCTTACATCAAACGAGAAGAAGAGTTTTTTTGTCGGTCTTCTACTTCGAAGGCAAAACTATAACATAGCAAAAGCAAAGATAAAGTTAGCAAGATATATGAATTTAGAAAGTACATGACTTGGAGAGGAAAGCTAAGGTATAAGAGAAACTAAATACAGTATCTTCCTGTAAAGAAAAATAACTTACGTTCAGAGAAACTTTCCAACAATTGTAAAACGTAAAAGCCTTGGTTCATTATTTAATTTTGGGCTTTCTGATTATATCCTTTTCTTTGCCTAACTTTATAGTTCTAGATCTGGTGGGTGAATTTAGGGGGAAAAAAAGAAACCCATAATCACAACATAAAGAAGACATAAAAATGTTACTTAATACTTCCTCCGTTTCAATTTATGTGAACCCATTTAACTAGGCATGAAATTTAAGAAAAGAGAGAAGAGTTTTAAACTTGTGGTGTAAAATGAGGCAAATATTTTTTGTGTGGCTATAAATCATTGTATAAAGGTAAATTGTTTCCAAATAGGAAGAGTGGTAATTCTTTTTGGCACGGACTAAAAAGGAAATAAGTTCACATAAATTGAAATGGAGGGAGTATTTTTCTATAAAAAAATCAGAATAGAAGAAATTTTGTGGCTTGAATTATTTTCTTGTACTTTTAAGAAATCCATAATTCCTATAGGTTTAGGAAAACTCATTGTCCTAATAGATTTGGGAAAGAAAAACTTTCTATAGATTGTATTGTGATTTTCTTCTTATTCATAGTGGATAACTCTCTCTGCTTCTGCCCCGAGGATTAGGCATAGCCGAACCTCGTTAAATCCTTGTGTTGATTTTTTTTTTCTATTTGCTTTGTGTGTGATTGTGTGCTAGTTAACACACAATCTTCCGCAACACAAACCGACATAAAATAAGTGGAAAGCTAAGAAGAAATCTCACCTTCAAGTTTGATTAATTTGATGGCTTGGGTTTACTCTTGGAAGATCTGTATTCTAAGAAATCTCTAACAAACCGCCTCTACCTGAAAAAGAGGTTATACAATCTCCGTATGAACTAAGGTACACTTGTTAAAACTCACATTTATGAGTTTAATTCAATTATAATGGACCTGAAGAACATGGATATCAAAATTGAGAGTGAGGATCAGGCCTTGATAAAGTTATATTCTTTACCACCATCTTATGATACTTTTGTCGATACGCTACTATATGGGAAAGACATCATTTCACTAAAAGATGTTAATAATGCACTAAAATCTAAAGAGTTGAAAAGGAGCTTTCCAGACAGCAGAATTGAGGGCGAGGGTCTTGTGATTAGAGGAAGAACACAGCAAAGGGAGTTTAACAGAAAAAAGTCAACCGCCAGATCAAAGTCTAGAGCAAGGACGCAAAACTGTTATGAGTGCTGGGAACAAGATCACTGCAAGAGAGAT